ATCGTTACCAACTAAGTACCTTCACTATAGGTAAGAATGGTGGGTATTGCTGGCAAGTCGTCACTTGTGCTACAGGGAGGTTGTGCTGAAAGTCTTGCTAAAAGTTTTTGGTTTGTAGCTCTTCATAATTTCTTTTATAGTCTCGTGGACTATAGGAAAGAGAAGTGATCTGTTGTGGAACTGGGAATTATACCAAACTTGACAACAATCATTGTAATACCAACTGGACAATCGTTACATTGCAACACCTTTTTCTGAAAATCACAATCTCAACGCCTACTGAATTAGTGTATGAAACAGCTTTGCATAAGAAACAGCACATAACAGGTTATGGTGCCAGATACCATATAAATTCTATTTAATCGCCTTCACCTAGGATTGAACCAGTATCTTGTGATCTGACTTGTGGAGTGTTAACCACTACACTATAGACCTACAGGTCATTATTGCTATTCATAATGGTCAAATGAAATTCAGTTATAAGATATTTAATCTTAGATAGAAAAATTAAATATTCTATTACAAGTTTATAAGAAAAGTAAAGAATATTGATCTTTATTTTTATTCGTATTTGTATATTTTACTATATTAATATTGTTATTATATTTTGTTAGTCTATATCTTTTAACTATATAAAAAATACCACTTGACTTTTTATTATTAAAAAGCTAATTATAACTTCAATAATACTTTTAATTTGCTATTCAAAATAAATTGTTTGAAAATAAAGAGAGCTGTTTTTGACCTTATAACTTTTTTATCAGCAAGAACTATATCTTCAAAGAGAGTACAATATGATATTGCCAACTATACATATTGCTGAAATTTATAGATCCTTGATGCAATTGACATAATTATTTGACACAATTAATTGAGTTATTATTAAAATATATAAATAATATATAAATAATTGAGTCATGACACAATTGTTTTTAAGAATTTTAGAAATTGAGTTAACAGAAAATAATTTATGCCATATGTATATTGCCAATTAATATATTTGTAAATTCTTTAATAAAAGTTGTTTCTTAAAAGAAAGAAAATTTCTTTTTTAAAAAATTTTTTAAAAATGTGTAATGAAATAAAAAGATTTTTTTTTTAAAAAAAATTAATAGCTATTTGACTTCCAGTACTCTAGCATATATGGATAATCTTATGCTAATTGCAAACTCCAAGTTCAAACTAAAAAATCTTCTAAAAATAACAAATTAATTTTTTAAAATTAACTACTTATTTTATAATAAAGACAAAACTAAAATACTGTAATTAATAGCATCTTAATTAAAAACAATTTATCTTGATATATTGTTATAATATGGATTATTGATGCCAAATTTAATAATATAAAAATGGTTTGAAAGAGAGATGTAAGGTTTAACATATAATTCTTTTATTAAAAGACTTTATGTTCAAGAATTAGGACTTTTTAAGAATCCCATTAATATATAAATCCTTTATTAACTTTTATAAATAATTAGAATATTGTTTGACTAGCTTTAAATATAAATAGTAAAGTAGTTTATTTTTACTGTGCCAATTACAATATATTATTGCTTAACAACTCAATGGCAATTAGTATCACAAGAACTTCCTTCTTATATGATTATATATGTACAAACCTGCTAAAATATTTATAATATATCAATTAATTTATAAAAATATAAGAGAATTTATTAATAAAAATTTATTAAATTAATAATAAAAATATATAATAGTTTATTAAAGATTTAGAAGAGAAATAAAGATCAAATAATATAATAATTATAATTATAAAAAATCTATAACTGTGTTATTCTCCAGAAAGGCAAAATAGCCATCCTTATATATTGTTTTTAGTTGTGATCATTTTTTTTTTATTGAAAAGAGCAAATGGCTATCACACTTTATTATATTTATTATACTTTCACTTGCAAAGCAAGATACAATACTCAATAGCATGACATATATCTCTTTTTATTAGGAAAAGTTTAATACAAGACTCCTGTATGGGGCCAGACCCTTGTGCTCTTTTAGCACCATTCAAGGAATACAGACAAAAAAAAATTCAAAAATCTATATTATGTTTATAAATAGCATTTAGCTATTTAAAAGTAAATAAATATCTAATCACATGAAGGTGCTGTAGCCAATCTATACAGGTGAGCCTTTAAGTCATAATTAGAATTGGCACACTTGCTTTTCAAATATGACTTAATATATAGCAGCAGAGTAGTATTGGAGATGATAAGAAATAAGTACTTTTTGTATAAAGGTGCTGCAGCCACTTTATATAGGTTTGCCTCCAAGTCACAAAAAGGATTTAGCATACCTATGCTTCAAGTGTAATGAAAGTGTTCTATGGATAAAATTCATATTGGTTTTCTTAGTGGCACCAGAATCTAACCTTGTACAATAGATCTACATTGTCGAAGGAGTAAGTGAGAAACTTTCGTTGTTATCACCAGCTCATGTTGCAAGGGTAACTAGAATCTCTGATCATCACATATTACCCTACTAAGTTCTCCAATCACCAGTATGATATCTGTAACCAACCTAGCTTATTGCTAGCTGCATTGGCATTGGCTACCATTTTACTCTGGATACTGTAGGGTGCAACTCCTTGAATACTTTTGGATAATAATAGTTGTACAAAGATTTCTTGGGCATATCTAGTCTAACCACCAATCAGTAAACAATGCTGGGTTTGGTAATAATGGTCATATCAATTTTTTGGAAGGAGTAAGCTGTCTGTCCTTTTTCTGAGAAACTATGTAAGAAAGAAAAAGTTCTAAAGCTCACATCCTGAGAAAGGTTACTGCTTCTTAATATGGTCCTTGAGAAAAGAGAGTTAATTGGCCAAAGGAGTGATGTTATAAAGATAGAGTTTTTAAAAGAGAGAGATCTAGAGAGAAAAATCTTCAGGAAAAAGGAAAAAACCTAGCTACAACAAAAAGAGAAAAGGTGAAAAAGGAGGGAGTGGGTAAAAAATAAAAAAAAATATATAGAAGAGAGAGAAGAAAATAGCGAAAGAGAAATAAAGAAATGAGAAAGAAGACATAGGAAAAGAGAAAGAGAAAGAACAAAGAAAAGGAGCAAACAACTTAAATATTTCCTAAAAAAGAAATTTTCAAGTGTAGAAAAAAGAGTGAGAAAGAGTTTTTTTTTAGTTGTGATCCTTTTTTTACTTATTTATCAATACCTTAAATTTTTAAAAGTCAATTTTTTTCCAATTCACTAAACTCAAATTAAAATTTAAAATTGACAATACCATATATTGGAATATCTCATTATCTACTTTTCTGAAAATCCAAGAATAAACAATAGCAATCTGGGCAGCAATATTATATAATCAAAAAGAATTCTAAGGTTAATCAAGATATATATATATAATATACAAAATCATATTAGTAATGAAAATTTTGAATTTTTTTTAGTTTTTATGGTTTTAAAGTGTTTATTAAATTTTTCAAATACTTTAGAAATCTAAAAAACAACTCTTATAGTAATTTAATATTTTTTAGAATCAAGTTTTTTTTAGAAACCCTTCTGATTCAAGCTTTTTTCAATTAACTATATCCAAAACGGTACTCAGATTACTTCTGTTCAAGATGCAAACTCAGAATTAAAAACATAAGACATGTATTCATATATATTAAAACAAAAGATTAAACAATTTAAATTATTAATACTATAAATAATATATTCTGTCCAAGTAAAAATAATATTTCAGTTAATCATATCTGGTAGATAATCAAACTTTTCTGTGAAGTTATTAGCAAGATCTTTATTATTTTTCTTTACAATCTTATATAGAAACTAAAATACAATACAGCAAACACTTCACTCTTTATATAAATAATCTAAAATCAGAATTTCCACCAATCTTACAAGAACTTTTCAACCAAGTTTTATAATTACTCTTGTCAATTCTTAAATTCCAACCCAAAACCAGAATATATAACTATAGACCTTTTATTTATCATCAAAAATAAATTTATAAATAACAATTTCAATTCATTATTATATTTAAAAAATTTAATTTCTAATCTTAATTAACTTATTACTAATAACTTTAAGTAGATATTTATAGCTACTTGGCACTTTCTATGATATGTAGTGATTTTAATATTTATTTTTTTTACTGTATAGTAAGTTAACGTAAGCAAGCTAGCATTAAACTTATTAACTCAATATATTATATAAAAGATATTGTTACTTTCATTATGTAGAAAATTCGAATTTTTTATAATTAATAAAGCAACAATGTTTACTTATAAAAAAAAAATAAAAAAATAAGTATAAATATAATTAATAATAAGAAATAATCAAAAATATAAAGGAAAGTTTTATAATGTTTTGAAAAATTTAAGAATATTTCAAAGATTTTCAATAATATGATTAGGGCTCTGAAAAGTACCAATCTGGTATCAAAATGATACTGATTTGTAATAAATTTAATATATAGGTTGTGACCTACTCATATATTTTTATAGTAAATTTAAGTATCGAACTAGTATCGAAGTGGTATCATTAGAAGCCCTAAATATGATATATAATATAGCAAAAGTAGAAAATTTATTACAATTAATTTATAAAAAAAAAAACTAGTTACTTATAATAAAATAAGAAAAAAAGTGAAAATGGAAAGGAGTAAAAAGAAATTAGAAAAACAAAAAATAGAAATAGAAAATCATTACATTATGCATTATTAATGTATAATAATTTAATCAATATAAATTCTTGTCAATTGTATATTTTTATATATGCTAATAAAGAATTTTTATTTAAACTAGTTTGTTAATATTCCTAGATATAGGTGATACTAAGTATATTCTCTATGATGTTTAATTCAGCTTTATTGATTTAGAATTTTATTTAATATTTCATTTATTATTCTTCGGCTTCGGCAACTGATGCTAGAGATAAGTCTGGCATGCACAAATATTTTTCTGGAACCTCCCTATAATAAACAATTTTATTTATCAGCAAGCAAGAATATTTCAATAAAAGAACCGAATATATTAGTACCAGCTGACTTCCTTTTCATCTGGTATATACTTTTCGTTATTATATACAAGGAGAGGTCTTTCTTGTATAATTTCTGTGCCTGAATCATTTCGATAATCAACAGTCACTTGAAATCCATCCAAATAAATTTCCGCCGCCTTATTCCATGAAAACGTTTTACAGTCGGTCCCATTTTCTATAACTGTCATCAATATTAAGGGAAACGATGATCCATTGTATCGTTTTATGGCTCCTTTGGTAAATCCGCTTAAAGATGATAAAATTCCAATTGTTTCTTGAGTTTCGCGACATAATGCGCCTTCAAGATCACGAACTGCACTAGGAGGGCATTTGTTACACAAAGATTTACATTGACCTATAACCATCAGCTTTTTACCCGGTAGTTTCCAGCGGCCACGAAAATCTATTCCATCATCGCCTGCCTTTCCTACTCTTCTTGTCACGATCCCAAACGATTTTTGAAGACACGCGATAGTTTCATATTCATACAGAGTACCACGATATACTGTTGTACTGGTATTAACCTCCTTGATTGTGAGAAATGTTTCCAAATTATGATGTTTTGGCAATAATAAAATTTTTTGTTTTGGCTGGTTGATATTTTCTCTTGAATTTTTTTTCGGTGGTTTTGAAAATTGTTCTAATTGTTTAGTTTCATTATCTTGCTGAAATCCATTCAATTGGTGTCGTTCGTTTATCGCCTGAAAATTCCGATTCAACAATTGAATAATTTTAATGGTGTGCACCAAGTCTTCCCAGACTTTTGATATTAGCATCGATTCTATTATTTTGTCAGTCTTTTCTTCTGATATGATTTTTGGCTCGTGTAGACATAAATGTTGTCTACTTCTTACCAATGTATGCAACGTCCTTTGCGAAAGATATTTTAATGCAACATACGGTGATCTAACTAAAAAGTCCGTTTTGTTCATATTAACAAATCTCGAGACGATAAACGATAATCGCGAATCTTTTGATTTCGCGGTTATATTATTACGATCTTTAATGTGATTGGTAAATTATTTGCTTATTCATTATAATAAATTAATTTAGTAAAAATAAAATAATTTTATAATATAATATAATATATACTGTAAGAATCTTTTTTTACTGCGAATAAGCATAAAATACGAGACTTTATTGATTAAATGCTAATCCTGTCATTACATTAAACATCCATTTAAGAAGGTGGGTATCACGTCAAAAGTGGTCCATAAATGGCAGGTAGTTGTTATATACTGTAAGAATTAATGAGATTTTATTAAACTTAATTGTTTTTTATCATATTAATATGTAATTGTTATTTAAGTAAATTAATTATAACTTGTGAAAAAAAAACTTTTTCTTACTTTTTTTTCACTTTTCTATTTCTTTTATTTATTTATTTTTTTTTGTAGATAAACATTATTTCTTTATTTAATTTGTACAGTATAATACTAGATATATATTGTAAAAGAAATAGCATCTTTTATATGTAACAATACAATAAGTTAAATGCTAGCTTGCCTATAATAATTAATTAATTAATATTGAAAAGAAATTTTAAAACAATATATCTTGTTAAGTAGCTCTAAGCAATTATAATTATTTATTTAACATTGAATAAAAGGAAATTAAAGTAATTAGATATTAATTGATAATATATTTGAAAAAGTTATATTTATTTTAAATATTAAAATTTATTACTACATCAAGAAATTTTTGGGCAAAGATCTTCAAAAATCTTTAGGTATAGATCTTCAAAGGTCCTCCATCATTATTAAAAGACTTTAGAGTGAAAATTAGTATATTTAACTCCGGAGATCTTTGATTTAATTTAATAATATTCAATTTAAAATGTTTATTGACTTATAAAATTATTTTTATTATTACATAATTATTGTTTACATTTATTTATTTGTTTAAATCTTTGCTTATTGTCAAAGTCCTTCTTTTTAATTTTTTATTTTCCAATAGTTGTCCTAGATTATTCTCAGTATTTTAAAGTTTTTCAGATTATCTTCTATAATAATAATTTCTAAATTAGTTATTTTTTTATCTTTACTATTTGAATTTTTTTCTTCGAATCCAAGTTCTTTTTTAATTTTTTTCTAAAAATATTATTAGTAATACTTTGAAGATTTTTAAAACTCATTTTATTTTTTTCTACCTTGTTTTTAATTAACGTTTTATTTATCAAAATACTTTTATTATTCAGATCAAGAACTGTTTGACTTACTGCAATAGCAAATACCACTTGTTTATTGGAGGTATCTCGCTTTGGCCTGAATTTTCAAAAATACAGACTATCATGTTTTGTGTCTCTCCTCTTGAACAGTTATAAAAGTTTTCAAAGTATTTGACAGTCTTCCAAGATTATTTTTAAGCCAAAATATTGATAGCAGTTGTATTTGTATTTATTGTATCCAAACACCTTTTACCAAAAACTGAAAATATGACATCATGAATTTTTGAAGTCATAATTCCACAAAATAATTAATACTGTTTTATAAGCTTTTAAAGCAATAAGATATTAAATAGCTGAAAAACCAAAGTTATTAATATTTATAAGAATTATCACTTAATGAATATGCTTTTTATAATATGTTTTTTGATATTTTCTTATAAGACCTTTATAAAACTCTGAATATTCTTGCTGAAAAAATTTCTTGGTTGTTTGACAAAAATCTTCATGGTTCGAATATATTTTTTCAAAAAATACTTGTTTTGCGATACTCTTAACTATATACTATTTAAATAAAATATAAGTTTTCAAAGACCTTTGAAAAAATTCAAAATGAACCTTACCTCAATAAAATCATATTTAGTAATTAAATATTGACTTGTGTGAATTTTATTTTCTAAATAAATAATTTTATCCTTTATAATTTTTTGCTATTTTAATAATTGATCAATTTTTTTATGAAGACTTTCATAGGACTCTATGATTCTTTCAATAGCTTTATTAAGAACTAAATATATAAGTTAGTATTTATTTTAAATTATAACAAATTTTTAAATATA